TATATATGTTGTTTGCTTATTTGAGATGGATGACGAATGAATGTTTTATACAGGTTTTAAACTGTATATGTATTTTATATCTACAAATATGTTGGGTAAAACATGGGTAGATAAAGAATGAGGGATGAAAGATGATATAGATGTTATTAGCAGCTGCGCCTAATAAATAACATTGGCAGCTACGCCTAATAAATAATATTGGAAACTATGCCAATTAGAGAATAAATGATGTTGTTGGCAGCTGCGCCTAATAAATGATATTGGCAACTGTGCCAATTAGAGAATAAATGATGTTGTTGGTAGCCGCGCCTAATAAATAACATATTCAGATGCGCCATAGGCACAAATGGACTTTGTGCCTATTCCTTAGGATAACCCTTAAGAATGAATGAGTAAATGATAGATGATTCTTGAGATCTTTAAGAATAAAGAAGATAATGAGGATGAGAAATTTGGTTGATTGTTTAATGTTTAAACATAAAAATTTATTATTTGTGGGTTGAAAATCCTATATGCTCACCATGCTCCCAAGCCTGATCCACTCAGTTTTTCTTTGTATTACAGGTAGTGGCACCAGAGCATAAGTTGGATGACTTATCAAGATATTTTGTATTATAGATAAGTAGTTGTAAATAACTGTTTTAAGGTCTATTTTGTACTGTTTATGCTTTTGGTCTATATCGGAACATGACATCCCGAGATTTTTTTCATATAATGCAAAATACATTTCTTTAAAGAAATCCTTTGATAAATTCTTATCACATTTTGTTTTGGGAATAAATTCTGCAACTCTTTTAATCAAAGGATTACTCTGATTTTATAAAACAAAGCATAAAGAAATCGGTCTTTTCTGGCCGTGAAATTGGGGATGTCACATACTAATTTGGTGGAGGAATCACGTTAGCATGAAGTTAACTGTCAATTATGAGTAGTAATTGGTGTGTGTGTGTGTGTGTGTATATATATATATATATATATATATATATATATATATATTGTCTACCTTGGTAGAGCATGTTGATTACAAGGATGTTGTGAAGCAACCGATTTTGTAGTTACATATTGTAAGTGTTGCTACATAATTGTCCAAGCATGTAAAGCAGTAGGATGCCTTGATGAGCATTGTTGGTGGAATAGTTGATCTCATCAAACACTTACGCAAGTGCCTACAGAGATTATCTAGAGAAGACTTTTATAGTTGCTATATTGTTGAAAATGCGTCTTTGGTGAAAAGGAGGCACGGTTGAGACATATGTTTGGATATTAGTTTGAAAGAAACCATAGTAACTATTATTTTGTTACCTTCAATTTTGTTACTCTCTTTCATTGTTTAATTATCAATTTTGTTGTCACTTAAGTTGCAGGGAATCATCGATTTAGGAACGAGAGGAATTATTCATATGAAACTAAGATGTGAATGTTCTTTAGAGAAACTAGAATGCATGGTATTCACCAGAACCAGACCAGTGCACAATTAGATACATTCATTTTACTTGACATCACTGAGATGTATCTGTAGTCGAAAGGGTGGGGTACTCTAGATGATAAAAAGACACCGGAAACAACATCTAGTGGGTCTTTTACAAATAGAAACACATAGGTACTAATGTTGTTAGAGACAACAACCACCTGCTTGCTAGAAAAAGACCATAAATAAGTTGAAAATTAAGATTAGGTCAAACTTGCTCTCTGTTATCAAGCCTTTTGTTTAGTGATAACATCATGTAAATTTGAATTTAGTTGAATTGGAATTAGACTCAAATTTGATTTTTTTTAATATGCCATGTTGGCCTAACATTAAATTTTAAGTTGGTTGTTTTAGTAAATAGCAACCTATTTTCACTTGTTTGTCAAATAACAACAATTTGCTTCATATTGCGTTTGAAATTCTCAATATTAATGATTCGAAGTAAATTAAAAAAATGACAACCTACTTTTAATTATTTTTATATTATAACATCGTATTTTGATCTCTTTCTTTTTTACTTAACTTTGTAAGTAAATAATAGAGTCCAGGTTCCTTAAGGAAAGAAATCGGATATTTTGACACATAAAACTTGTTTAATCTTGACTTGGGAGCAATGTACATGTGTTGATTTGTTTATTATAGCATTCTACTTTCAAATACATTGTTATTTTTCTAGAGTTTTTAACAGAAGCATAGCATTTGCAAAAAGTATTGACCAAGTAATTGTAGTTTGTAACTTAGTTATTAAAACATCGTATACTCTAACTTTTATAACAACAATAATAATAAAAGATAAACACAATTGTGAAATTGGAAGTCAACACTTTTGAAATCGCAAGTGTATAATTTGTCAACAGGTTCTTGAAGCAATGGCTAGCATGTATGAAAATGATTGCTTCACAAATGAAGTCTTAACCTTGTATACGATCTTTCAATAACTAAGTTACAAACTACAATTACTTGGTCAATACTTTTTGCAAATGCTATGATTCGGTTAAAAACTCTAGAAAAATAACAATGTATTTGAAAGTAGAATGCTATAATATTGCTCCCTAAGTCAAGATTAAACAAGTTTTATGCGTCAAAATATCCGATTGCTTTCCTTAGGGAACCTTGACTCTATTATTTACTTACAAAGTTAGATAAAAAAGAAAGAGATCAAAATACGATGTTATAATATAAAAATAATTAAAAGTAGGTTGTCATTTTTTTAATTTACTCCGAATCATTAATATTGAGAATTTCAAACCCAATATGAAGCAAATTGTTGTTATTTGGCAAACAAGTGAAAATAGGTTGCTATTTACTAAAACAACCAACTTAAAATTTAATGTTAGGCCAACATGGCATATTAAAAAAAAATCAAATTTGAGTCTAATTCCAATTCAGCTAAATTCAAAATTAATTTTATTCAATTCGTTTACATAACTTTAGCTCCACCTTTTATACCTAATAATAGCCAAAATAAAAAGCAAAAATCATTTGGTAAAGAATAAAATCGATTAATCTTTTTAAAAGTTCGTCAACCCAACCAACGGACGGGTAGAATACTAGTTTTTTAAGAGGTGTGACAAAATCTATGTGACATCTATGTGACAACGTTTCTAGTGTGACAAGCATTTCTAGTTTTTTGAGACCGATCCTCCTAGCTTAAGAAGAGAAAGAAAAAATATTTTATGGTGTGAGATATTATGAGATGGAGAGGGTTTTAACTTTAAGGCTATAATATGCATGCCTCTCTCATTAATAGGGGTATTTATACTTTTCTACATGAGTTGCTCTTAGCTCGGTACAAAGAGAAAATCTTCTTAACAATAATAATATCATATTCTACAAGACTTTACGAATGATATTAATATCTATAAGTTGGTGAAAGTATAGATAATTATGTATAGTAGAGTTGTAAAAAAACGAAGCGAAAAAAACGACGTTTGGTGCTCGAAAAATAGAAAATAAAAAAATTCCGTAGCTAATTAGCTACGGATTTTCTTATTTTTGATTTTTCAGGCATTAAACATCGTTTTTTTCTCTTCGTTTTTTTTCCCACCTCTATTATACATGATTATCTTTATTTTCAACAACTTATAGTTATTAATAGTGTTCATAAAATCGTTTGCACCTTCAAGATCCTTTACTCATTTAATGGTTTAATATTGTATCCGTAACTATTCCGTAGCTATTCTGTAGCTAATTAGCTACAGAATAGCTACGGGTTAACATCTGTAACTATTTCGTAGCTAATTAGTTACGGAATAACTACGGAATAGCATCTGTAGTTATTCCGTAGCTATTTCGTTACTAAATTAGGGCGTCCCATTCTGTAGCTACTCCGTAGCCATTCCGTAGCTAATTAGCTACGAAAATTTCCCATAGCTATTATCCGTAGGAAAATACCCTTTTTTCTAGTAGTGATGCCTCTCTCATTAATATAGGTATTTATACTTTTCTACATGAGTTGCTCTTAGCTCGATACAAAGAGAAAATCTTCTTAGCAATAATAATATCATATTCTACAATAATACCTAATAAATGTAAATAATAATATATCTAAATATATACATGCCTAATCCATTTAATTGTGTTTTCATCAAAAATATTTTTTGGGTTACAAAACTAGACATAGAATGGTCTTTTTTTTCCGTATAAAACTGATTATATTACTATTTAAAAAACATTTATTAAAAAATCCAGGTGTCTTTTAGAATAAGATCATATGTTATATCTTCAATTCCGATTTGTAGTTTAGTAACGGATCATATTACTAAGCATGCCTAAAGAGTCATGTTAATTTGAAGGAACGGATCAATTATTAATTTTATAAGAAAAATTAATAATTATTAATCAGTTATTTTAAATACATATATATATATATATATATATATATATATATATATATATATATAACTTCAAATTTAATATATTATTAGAACACGTAAATTTGAATTTTGAAAGTTGCCATATATATATATATATAACACATGTCATAATATTAATGAGGAGTTGTATTAGAATTAAACTTGGTAAAAGAAAATTAAAAACTATTCATTTATTAGAATAAAGATTAAAACATTTATAGAGCTTGATTATCTTTACAAAGCTAGATTATATAGTCTCTAAAGAATCTCGACCACAAAATGCATAGTTTAGTTCAAAGGAACCGGTTTTTTTTTCTCTATATATAACCTCCATATCGCATGATTTATTTTTATAAACCGGATCCATCATACAATATTTAAATACCGACAAAAAATAACAGTTTTTTTTTTTTTTTTTTTTTTTTTTTTTTTTTTTTTTTTTTTTTTTCTGAACATACCAAGTTATATGTCCCTCAAAAGACGCTATAAAATATGCTAAAACAGGTTATATTTGGAGGATCCATGAGCTATTTTAATCATTGCCAACCCTTCAAAGGGCTTTTTGTATGATCAAATCACAAGGATTAACTTTTAAAACAGGTATTAATTAACTAGAAAAAGAACAACACAAAGTTTCACTTAAGTATACTTAGAGCCACAAGAGCACACCATCCAGGCTCGCACATTTTTATAACTTCTAAACGAAAAAGTCCATCATTATGCCTTTAAAATCTCCATACAAAGTTTTGTTCAACTAAAATCTATAACATTACTTTACCGAATTTATTCCCCTCCCCTAAACATTGCGTTCCTTAGCTGCATCATGAATTCAAGATTACCTAAACACCCCTCTTCAATTCGGTGTTCTCCTTGCTCAACTGATCAATGTGAGAATGAAGAACGTTGATTGTTGCCTGAGCCTGCATCAATTCAATCTTCAAGGCATCCTTCTCCATTGAAACATCTCGTATCTTGTTCTCCATGTCACGTATAACCTCCATGTACCCAGGAGGCAAAGATTTCTCAAGGGCAGAAGCGTCAAATGAAGGTGGGGTGGCTGGAGGATGTGTTTCTTTAGTTGTAATAAATGCAGACAAAAGGTTTGTTGTTGTTTGACCTTGACTTGTCATGGTTGAATCATGGGAACCATTTGCATTGCTAGAATTGGGATCACTTCCTTTTGATGTTTTGTGGTGAAACAGTGTGAGAGGTTCGAGCTCAGGTTCAGAATTTAAAACACCATTTTCCAATCTTACCTTCTTGCATGCAATGGGGATCATTTGAGCATCCATCTGAAAAGAGCTCGATTTCATCAATCAATAACATAAAAGAGAGTTGAAAACTATTAGGAATGACATGTAATGATGGCCTAAATTATGATTACCGTTATGATTCTTATTATAGAAGATCTGATCAAATTTATACATTATGCTGATATTAATTTGCAAGAAAGAAAAATTTGGAACAAAGTACAGTTTCTACTAGGATTATTATTATATCTCATAATCTCAGTAGTATATTCCTAGTATTAAGAAGAAAACCTGTTACAAAAGGGATATCCCAAACGACTAGTGTCTTCCTATATGTAAAACAAATGGTTTTGGAAGTTTGTAATTCGGTGTATGGTGTAAATCACTTTGTATATCTAAAGAACGCATTATCGAATATCCTGTATGTGAAATAAAATCATTCTTGATGCATAAATTTAGGGTATGTAATGTCACGTAAACCGACAAGCAACACTATAATTATTGTCTCAACAAAAACAAGAATAGATTTTATGCATTTCTTGGCTTTCATTTAATATATACGAAAAGAACGTATACAAGTAACATGCCATTTGGCATGTGATTATGCAATAATAAAGTTCCTTGAATAGTTTGGTGGATAACTAAAAATCTAAAGTAAAGTCTAAAGCAAGAATTTCATGGTCTTTTTTCATGCAAATTTTAAAGTGTATATATATATATATATATATATATATATATATATATATATATATATATATATATATATATATATATATATATATATACACACACTTTTCTAGGAGCATGATATGCCTACAATTGTGAGATTCAAATCAAATACATTTCAACATATTCAGACACTTATATGACATGTTGCATAAATTTAGAGTATGTAATGTCACGTAAACGAACAAGCTAGACTATAATTATTGTCTCAACAAAAACAAGAATAGATTTTATGCATTTCTTGGTTTTCATATTATATATACGAAAAGAACATATACTAGTAACGTGCAATGTGCGATGTGATTATGCAAGTATAACGTTCCAGGAGCATGATATGTCTGCTATTGTGAGATGTAAATCAAGTACATTTCAACATATACGGACACTTATATGACATGTTACATAAAGTTAGGTTATGTAATGTCACGTAAATGGACAAGCGAGACTATAATTATTGTCTCAACAAAAACAAGAATAGATTTTATGCATTTCTTGGCTTTCATTTACTATATACGAAAATAACGTATGCAAGTAATGTGCGATGTGCGATGTGATTATGCATTTCTTGGCTTTCATTTACTATGTAATCCCCCCCCACAAAGAGAAGACGAGGTAAAGCCAAAGGGTGAAGGACACTATATGAAGTCTAATATTAAGACAAAGGGTGAAGGACACTATATGAAGTCTAATATTAACTCTCCAAAAGAGTCCTTATGGGGAAATGGGAGACTCCATCATATAGACACTAGACACTTATAAGGCCGTGTCGCACCGATTTGAGATACACTAACAAACAAACATATCTAGTTGATGCCTACTATCAGGACAATGGGACAACAATGTAAAAGTACACACGTACACAGCAACACAATACCTGCATAGTGTTGTTTCTTTCGGCAGAAGTTTCATCATCATTTGTCACATCTTCCATTGTGTCTCGAACGGGAACAATGAGGGCTTCCTCATCATCCCATTCTTCTTCGAAAAACGGTCCATAACAATCTCCATTTCGTGGTCCTATACCACTCTTTTCAAAAATTCTGCATAGCACAAATGCATCCTTTTTTTCCCACACCACCCACAAAACAAGAACAATCATTCCATTTTGTTAGATTCAAACACCAAACAAGTAAGTATATTTAAGCTGCATTTGTTACACGGAACTTGAGTCTAAGTCATATTATAGTTTTAGTTAAATGCATGCAAAACGCTTGTACAAAGTGTTATGTTATGTAATCTCATGTCTTGTAAAATGATCACATGTAATTCAAACCTGTGCTACTCCAGCTGTTTGCAATTCTTGATCCAAAAGTTTATATTCGTGCATTACCCAATTAGTGCGTATGCCATGAGGGGATCGGCCACTATGGAAAACTAGGGTTTTCTTCTGCCCTATCTTCTCAGACTTTTGGTTTATTTCCCGGATCTTCCCAGTTTCTTTCCAAAATCCGCGTTCAGTGGATCGTTTTACTCGAGAACTATTGGCATACTTCTTATCTGTAGGAGTGATGAAGTACCATTCTAGTTCTCTTGATTTCACTGAAGTATAGTCTAGAAAACCACAAATCACAAAAAGATCAACACCCTTATCTCAAAGATGGATATTACATATGTAAGATAAACAGCAGTCATTGCATAATCACAAATTCAACCATTTTTTTCAGAAATGCGATTGTTTTAGATATCAAAGGCCTCCAGGCTATCTTATGAAATTTCAAACTAGTTGGGCAACAAAATGTTTTTATGGTAAACTTACTCTCCTACATAACTCTTTCGTTTTTTCTTATAGAAATTATCTATTTTTACTGAAAATTTTCAAGATTCATCTTCCCAGAAAGACAATAATTCATAACTGCAATAACTTTACAGTAATGAACAATCTTTACTTCAATTTTCCACTACTTACTAAGTGAATCAGATTCCTAGTATCAGTAATTGAATTGCATGCAGGTGGTTTTATGGTTTCCAAGTCCGAAATTTTACTAAAGATGAAGTTTTCCCCAAATAGAAAACTACAACTTATAAGTCTTGCGAAATTCAATTTCCAAAAAAATCGTCATTTTCGATAACTTCAAGAAAACGTTGGAGAAATGGCGAACAAAAAATCATCAAACCAAAAAGAATTATGTATACCAGCGAGTTCCCAGGGCTCAGATTTGTAGATATCAATTTCCGGCACCATCTCAGACTGAAAGGGCTTCCCACAAACCTTACGCCTCAGGTAATACCTCAAAAGCACCTCGTCAGTTGGGTGAAATCGGAATCCAGGAGCAACAAAAGTAGGCGGCAGCGGTGGGGGTGGTGGCGCGACGATCATGGATACACGACCCGTCTCCATCGGACCGAAATTGAATCTTTAGGGATTGATGGAAAATTAGGATCTTACTGGAAGCAAGAGAAAGAGAAAGAAAGAGAGAGATGTATATATATGCGTCTGTTTGACAGTGGGTGTGAAGTAACACCTGGTGACTGGATGCTTGCTTCACACGAAAATCAAGTCATAGGAGAAATAAAGTGTGTATTAAATATAGTAGACTTTTTAGAATGTTATAAAAAGTATGTTGGAACTATTTTTGAAGAAAAGTTAAACATGTTGATGAAAAATTATGATTATCAACATTTATCAATTCTCATCGTTTATCATGAGTCGTTATCTTGAAATTTAACATTCAACAAATCAGAGGCAGCATTTAAAGTAGTATTTAGTCCCATTATGTAATAATGTGTACTTTTGGTTTTTGAAATATCTGAAGAAAATAAAATTTTAAATAGTTTTATAACCATGAGAAAAAATATATAATTTTTTTTGGAAAACGAATTTGTAAAAAACTGTTTTGAAAAACGGATATTTTTTATACATGTATAAATGGAAATATAAAGAGTGGTAAAAATAATTTTTCGAAAAACCTAATTTTGTAAGGACAAATTCGTAAAAAATCAAAGTTGTAAAATAAAAAGTTAAAAGATAGTATTTCTCTAAAAATACTATGTTAAAAAAAACAATTAAAAAACGAAATTAATTGTTAAAAAATTTGAACGAACTCAAAGATCTGTTGAAAAAGAAAAGCCGAATGATGCATGCTTGGATTCGGATTTGAAGTGGACGGACAACTTAAAAAATATTCAGATTTTGCAATACGATAGGAAAGAGATAGTAAAAGGGTTATCTACCTCTTGAAAACATCATAATAATTTTCTTTTAAAAATGTCATAATAATTTTTTATGATTATTTTGAAAGATTAGCTGAAAAACTAGTTGCTAGTTGAAAAGTTTCGGTTAGCTGATATTTTGAAAGACTAGCTCAAAAACATCATAATAATTTGCTTTTTTGTTTTTAATAATATGTTCGTCATTTCAAACAAAATTAGATGATAAGTTAACTTATAGAAAATGACGTTTGATAAAATTAACAAATAAACTAGCAATAAAATGTAAATTACATAAAAAAAACATATAGATAAATGATTTTTTTATTATTATTATAATACAAATATATAAAATATTTTGTTACAACAATGTAATTTTTAAATATCAGATTCTGTGATTTATGTAAGTGAATATTATTGCATCTCATATCATATGGAATAAATTATTAATCTTAGGTTTGTTTGGCAATATTAACCTAATTTGTTCTAATTTAATGTTCTGTGAAATAATAATAATAGTTTTTCATATTTAGAAAATAGTTTCTTAGATTGTTTATTGATAAGCTATCTTAAAATAACTTATAAGCAAAAAAAAAAAAAAAAAACTTATAAGCTAGTTTTCCAAATAAGGCCAATAACAAAATAATATTGTTAACATTTAGGCTTTTTATTTGTATATTATGTCCTTAAACATACATTTAATACTATGGTTTTATTATATATCCTGATAAGTATGTATAACTTTTAAAATATAATAATATATCTTTTAAAATATGACAACATTTATTTTTTAACTAGTGAATAAATCCGTGGTGAGCCACAGGTCGGTTTTGATATTTTCTAGAAACGTAACTGTTATTTATAAGAATTATACAAATTTTAGAGGACCAACTTTAGAAAAAAAATGGTGCACCTGCATTAATTTTTTTTTTCTCACTAGCACTTACAAACCGAACTCTATCTGTATGATTCTTAGACCTCATATCGTATGTCACCTTTCTTAATCCTAAAGGCACGATTGAACAATATACTTAACCTTTTTACGATGCTTTTTAGGGCAATCAATATCAGTAAACATTTCAATTCTAGCTTTTGTGCTCTCACAGGTCATAAATGGTGAATCACTAATTTCATTCACTTATTCTTGAGCGTGTTTTGTTGTTTCCATTTCCACTAAAGCAACATAAATGGTACATGAGTTGAGGTAAGTGGGGATAAACTAAACATTTTTTACAGTTCCAAACTCATCAAATGCAGTTTTTAAAACAGCTTCAGTCACCTTATTTAAGATGTTTGAAATGTAAATGTAATGGCATTTGAAAGCTTCTCAAGGTAAAGTGAGTAGAAACTAATGTTGTACTTGCTTCCTACATCATGTTGGGCACATCCAAATCTGTTAATTGAGCTAAAAAAATCAGTTTCATAGAAAGTAAAAATCAACTCAAATATCATTTTCCTCAATTTGAGTTAAAACATAAGCACCAACAACAATTTTAGCAACATGAAGGGGGTATTTGGATGTGGGATTTGAAAGTGTTTGTCTGATTATTGTTACTTCAATTTATGGAATTTAGATAACTTCTCAACCTAGTTTTACTTATAATTATCGTATTGTTAGGGCTCAAATAATATGTTTGATTATAGCTACAAGAAATTGATCATTACGAAACAAATTTTTACATAGTTTTAAAGGAAAACAAATTCTACAATGAAAATATGATTGTAAAAAAAAAGTTTGAGTATATAAAGATAAGCATATAGCAATTGAAAACAAGTGAACTTATAAGTTGTTAGGTTAAATGATATTCATATGGTCTCAAACCACTATCGCTTGCACATTTACCACTTGACACCGACTTATGCATTACATTCTGAAAAAGAAAAGGTTAAATTCAAGAAATAATGAAGAACTTTCTTTAATTTGTTCATTAAAGCATCCTACTTTTATTTCTTCCTATCAATCTATCATATATTTTGTAATTCGAAGAAGTGGAAGGATTACTTTGTCATTACCAACATAGAAAAAAACTTGTATTTCTTTTACCTCCAAAAGCCAAAAACAAACATGCAGAGAAACCCAACAAAAGGTTGATTAAATTTACACTTAAGCATATAGATACACACATATAGGCACAAGTACACACCAATTTTTGCACATACAGATAAAAGCACACAAATTTGCATAAATAAATTAACGAACACACAAAAATATAGAAATATCAACAGACATAGTATTTCATTTTACAAATTCATCATTAAATAAAAAATAAAATCAATGAGAGATACCTTGGTTGTAGTTGCATCATTCTTATTCTGTCAGCCATTTGAAGATCTGAATGAAGCACAAAGTTGCCCTTGTTGAGATACATCCATATCTACACGGTTGTCCACTATTATTTACCAGAACATGTACTTGTGCTCTAAATCCTATAGATCATTTGTTGCCATCAACATAAATGAACTGCAATGGAGAAAACACTCGATGAAAAATAAAGATAAAATAATTAGACAACATCTTACCAGAGAAATCTGGTTATTAGTCGTTACACAACAAATTTTATTTTCCTTAAATGCATTGGTTTTGTTTATACACTCAAATCTTGGAAAACCTTAAGGTGATGAATTTTTGTATGCAACACAAAGAAAAAAAATGGGTCCTACTTTTATTTTCAAGTGATGGTACAATAATATCTACAATATTAATGTATGAACAACCTCCTCCCAACATTTACGAGTTCGATCCCTTAGAAGAAAATATAAAAACCCTGTCTTTGATCCCTTATGGCAGAAACTCGTCCATTGAGCATGCTCCATGTCTACAATTTATCTTCTAATGGCAATAGGGTCCTTCTTCACAAAGAACTATGGGATTTCGCAAACCTTGAACTCCCGAAAGGAAAGAGGTTGTGCTCTGAACTGACCGGCTGCAATCTCTACACAAAAGGCCCCTAAGAAATCATCCAACAACTTCATGATCCCCTCCTTGATGGTACCAAACATCACCAGAGTTGTATCCAAAATAAGAAGAATGATCTATGAGGTGATGAACTCGCGTATCCTTTCATCAATCGGCTCAACAACAGAGCCTGAACCAGAACCTAAACCAGAACATCCTTTATGAGTGCTCACCACCATACTGAAAGGCAACCATAAAAAACTGTTGGATAAGGTGTCTAAGTCCATAACTATTTCTGGTATGTACTTGACCCGACCCTGCATGGTCCATTTGGGTTGCATGGCACCATGCAATTGGATAGACTAAATGGGAGAAATAACACTTGGAGATTATTAATATATTATAAGTTCTAATATATTAATAATAATATTATTTGATTAGTTTGATCAAGAATTAATTTAGAATTAATTAAGGGATCAAAAGATAACTAATTAAATATATGGGTTGATTATGTAAACCATCCATATCTTGTATAGTGGGCTAAGAGGCTCCATGGATTATTAAGTTGAGTTACACCCATAGGATGCTCCATGGATGCTCCATGGGAGTTACAAACCCATGGGTCATGGAAATGAAGAGTCATGACACATTAGGGTTTACATGGTGTAACCCTAGATATGTCAACACTATATAAGAATCCCATTCTCCACCAAAATCGGATACACACATATTAAACAAGAGGGCTAGGCCAATTTCAAGAAGTGTGCATTCTCTCAAAAGTCTTTCCAAGAGCATTTGGTGTTGTGTGAATCATTTGAGGCATCACACTTAGGGTGCTAGGCTCACAAGATTTCAAGGAACATAAGCAACAACAAGGTAAGTTATTATATCTTTCATTCAAGTTAAAAATTGTTCCCCATGTATGCTAGATAGGAATATAACCTTGGAATTCAACTTTGCATGATAATTAGACAAACATAGATCCAAGGTTATTAGGGTTGCATGTACACTTAGGAAGTGTTAGAATGCTCAAAACCCATCAGTGGTATCCGAGCCTAGGCTTGTTTGTTTGTTATTTGTGCTAAAAAGTTGAAAAAAGTCAAAAAAATTGTTGTCTGACTGCTGGACTCGTCGAGTCCATGGGGGGACTCGTCGAGTTCACTTGTATCTTCAACCTACTCATCGAGTAGGTTCATGCACTCGGCGAGTAGGGTCGACAGAGTGCAGATTTTCGACTTTAGTTGCTGGAAATGGATTAGAAACATTACCCTAAACTGTTTTGGTACTTGAAAACTTGTTTTAGATGGTGTAATGTCTTTGCTAATTCATTTACAACAACTAGT